ATATATATATATATATATTACCAAATAGAAGGAAGATTATAAATAGACATATAAAAAAATTTCTGTCAAATACTATTACTCGATTTGAAAATTTTATATATCGTATTAATGATGATTGTGTGTTACTCAATACCTAAGAGAAGGACGCGTGGTGCCATGCAGGAGTTCATCTTTTGAGGACGAGATGTATTTTTGCAAGTCTGCACGAAATGACCACTTTAGATGGCGAGACGAAACCCTCTGGGCGGTGGTGTCACCGTTTTCAGCGGCTTTACTAGTTTAGTCTGTCAGATAACGTTCATATTTTACAAAGCAATCGGTGACCAAAAGATTGGCACTTTGCGATATATGGCGATCGGGCGATCTGACAGGTTATCTTCTCCCAACACAACGTTGATCATATTAGTGTCCATGGGCCTTTCTTATTAAGAGTGATGTGGCGATAATGGACTATGCTTCTGTCATAATCTTATGGGCTTTCTGAGGATGCTTTGTAGACGTATATAACAATATGTAAATATGTTGTCCAAACACACGCTCATTCAGCGTGTTTCATACACACACATTAATTTAAACGGTCGGGAGGAATTCGTGCATATGAAAATAAAACATAAAAAAGTATGATGCATTCTTTATAACACAGTGAGAAAACTCGTACATTTCGTTAAACACAATGAGGAGCGGCGTATTTTATCCTTGCAAAACAGGACGTGTAGGTTGGTGGTGCAAATTGGGATTAATCTCAAACTCACCTATAAATACTATTGTGGTGTTCCACTTTCTGCACCGCCTCACACAATAAGAGAAATTAACTAAAAAGAAATCAGATCATCAATTTCACATTAAAATGTGTGCCATTGCATTATCATGGACTACGGCAATGGCCTTCAAGAAAAAGCAGCCAATTGCTAGTAATCATTTTTCCTTTGATAGAAAATTACTCTCCTTTAACTTGGTTTCTTCTAAGGGACCTGAGCTTTGTAGATTCAAATGCAAGGCTCAAGTTGATGACCAGATTATTATTAGTTCAGTTGAAAGACGATCTGGAAACTATAAACCTTCCTCTTGGGACTACAATTTCATTCAATCTTTGAGCACCGAATACGAGGTATACATACATAGTCATTTTCTTGAAATTAATTTATATGGGTATATTTTCTCTTCGTTTATTTATTTTTTATATTTTTTTCGTTAAAAATTTGGTGTTGGTAAATACAGGACGAGAGGTATTTGAAAAGGGTGTCTGAACTCATAGAGCACGTGAAGATGATTTTGGACGACGAAACAATGGAAGATGTTGGAAAATTGGAGTTGATTGATGACTTGGAGAGGCTTGGTATTTCTTATCACTTTGAGGACAAAATCAATGAAGTTTTGAAACAAATCCATGGTCAAGGCTGGTCAAAACGTGAAATGGATTTGGGCACTACAGCTCTTGGATTCAGACTCCTTCGAAAACATGGATTTAGCATTTCTCAAGGTCCTATACCCATAACTTACTTTTCATATAAATAATTAATTCTCTCTTACATATACGAAATGTATATAAAAAAAAAAATAACTCGAATCTACTTTAGGTTGTAAATGAGTAGAACCGAGTCGAGCTCGGGTCGTTAACTAAACGACTCAATATTGAGCTTCGAACTCAGCTCGTTTATTAATATTAACGCGTCGAGCTTGAGACTTAACGAGCCGAACTCGAATCTTAACAAGCCAAAGTATATAAAAATTGTTATTTTCGAGTTTTAACAAGCCAAGCCGGATTCGAGACTTAGTGAGTCGAGCCGACCTATAAGCGGCTCGTTTCGTTTAATAGATCTACTCTCAATTCACGAAATATTGAAAAATTCTCGCTGACAAATATGTTTCTCTCTCTCTATATATATATAATATTATGATTTTAGCAAAAAAAAAATCCTACTTTTTTCACATGCTAAAATTGGAAGTTTAATGTTATTTTTATTTTTAAAGTCATTTGCATTAAATATTAAGGTGTATAAATATATTATCATATTAACTAACTATTTTTTATAATATAAGATTCTTACCTTTCTCATTTTCTTGAGTTAAATTTCAATTATATTTTTTAATATTAACATTGAAATATTCATATATCTTTTAAACAAAGTCTTGATAAACTTTTTATTTATCACTCATTTTTCTAATGATAAATTGAGGAAAATTTCAAAACTAGTCCCACAGGTATAGCGGGTGACAATTTTGGTCCCGACGGAGTGCAGAAAATATGAATAGTCCAACGGCTTTTAAAAAATGATCAAAAGTAGAACTTTTTCGCCGGATTTATTATTTCCAGCCCGGAACGCCACGTAGCGCACACGTGGCTTATTTTTTTACACGCTGGCATCCGACGTGTTCATATTTTTTTACAAGTTGTGGGACTAGTTTTGAATTTTCTGCATTCCATCGGGACAAAAAATGTCACCCCCTTATACTTGTGGGACTAGTTTTGAATTTTTTCCTATCTACATCGGATGCCAGCTTGTAAAAAAATAAGCCACGTGTGCGCCACGTGTCGTTTCGGGCCGGAAATAGTAAATCCGGCGAAAAAGTCCTACTTTTGATCATTTTTTAAAAGCCGTGGGACTATTCATATTTTCTACATTCCGTTGGGACAAAAATTGTTCCCCCCTATACCTGTGGGACTAATTTTGAATTTTTCCCTGATAAATTGTATAAATTAAAACAATAAAGAAATATTGATTATTATAAAAATGTTTTGAATATTAATTTTTAGTTTTACTTTTATTTTTATGATATATAATAGTTTAATATATAAATCATACGTTTATTTCACTCATTATAAAATAGTTGTCATTTTAAAGTTTCTTTGAAGAATTAAGGAACATAAATTTACATATTCGAATATTACAGATAATACTCACCAAAATACTTCTTTCTTTCTCTGTTGACTTATCCCCTTATATATAATTCCCGAATGTGCTGAGTCTAAGTGGCAGGCTCGCATACTTTGGGATTCTAAGTGTCAAAATTTCATGCTTCATTATTTGGCTTGGATAGATTTTAATTTAATTTTAATCCAAAAAAAATTGGGTTCAGATTACCATAAATATATTGATTTATTTATGATCATTTTAGATGCATCAATTGTATTTTAATATCATTCCTATTATACCCATTGAATTGTAAATATATTTTAGAAATTGATAACTTTTGTATTTTTTATAGGTTTTACATATATAATATATTAAATTAATCATCTTTTGATGAGTTTCGATTTGACATCCATATTTTATATATAAAATAAATAAATTAAATTTATTTTTATAATAATAATAAAATTATTTATTAAAATTAATTAGAAAAATAAAATTGTTTCTCAATTAAATTTATGTTTAATGTATTTATAAGTTATAAGTATAACTCAGGTAAGTCGCACAAGTAACAAGTGTCATACTAAATATATAATAATATATATTTTTTTATAAAAAGTATTTAAGTTTTCAACTACTTTTTCTCATTAATTTTAAATTTTAAGAAAAATAAATTAGCAAGCACCCGTGTAATACACGGGTGTTGTATTAGTCATATATTATTTCAATATATTATTTCAATTCCTTAATATTGATAGGATTTATGTTTTTGACCTCGAACTTAGATTGATATAATATCGTCAATAATTTATAGATAAAATAAATAAATAAATATTAAAGAAGAAATAATTAATTCACTTATATCACGGACCGTGCATCGCACGAGTACGCGTATTAGTAAAAATGTTAAACATTTAAAGTAAAAAGTAATAGTTTTCCGCAAAAGTAGTATTAGTTAATTAGGGCGTGTTTGAATACAAATATATCCGTTCAAAATGAGTTTTTTTTGTTAATCAGTGTTAATTTTAATAATATTATATGATTAGTTGTTAGTGGAATTTTGATTTTATATCAAAATATTATTTAAAATAAAATAATTAAAGTTGATTTAATGTAAAATTAGAAGATAAATTATATGAAATGATAATTAGTTAAAATTATGTGAGTGAGTAAATAGTGAATTAAAGTTGATTTGATGTATAATATTAATTGATTGATATTATTTAATTATATTTATAATATTGAGGATAGTAGATTTGGATTAAAGTTGAGTTTAGATTTTAAGTATGAATTAAATATGAATTGAGAAAATCTATAAACAAACACATTCTTAATATAATGAAAATTTTCAAATCATATTCTCTTTTGTTTGAATTCTACCTATAAAACCACTCATTAATTCCAACAAAAACTGATGAATTTAAATTCGTATTATTTTATGTTTGATTCTCGTGATAAAAAAAATGAAATAAAATCATTCCAACGATAACTGAATTAAGGATTCATTGCAAAGGGGCGAAAAAAGAAAAAACAAAAAAAAAAAGGTTAAACTATATTATGAGAATCGAACTTATTCGATAGTAAGAAATCTCTTTATTTTGATACCAACATTTACGCAATTCGATATATAAGAAAGAAGTTCAAATATTGTAATCCGCTTATAATTCTCAAAATTGCTAAATTTAATTGGCAGACTCCCATATTTCGGATCCTATGTAACAAATTTTCTTGCTTTGTCATTTCACTTGATTAATTTTAAATTGCTTTTATTTTGAAAATTTACTAAGCTTGGAATATTCAGAAATATACTGGATATTTATGATTTTTTAAGAGCATTAATTATGTTACTTTTTTATTTTAGATGTGATTTATAAAGCATAATTTTTTCTCAATTTTTTTTCTTCTTTTTTTTTTTAAATTATAAAATATTTACTAACTTAAATTATATGTAGATTTAAAAGTTAATAATTTTTTTTATTACCAATATTTTATATATAATATTATTTGACGAGATTCGATTTGACATCTATATTGTACATACAAAATAAATAAATAAATAATTATATTTGTTTATAATTATTGATATTTAATTAGAACTAGTGCAATTCTTGTGTATTGCACGGGTGCTTGTTAAAAAATTTATATTTAAAATTTTAAATAATAATAAAAAGCTATTTAACTTTTTAAACATCTTTTTTTTGGAAAACTATATTACGATATATTTAAAATGATACTCATCACTTAACCGACTTACCATCTTATATTATAATAATTTTTTTAACCTATCATGTAACAACTTTGTAGTTAAATTAATTTAAATAATTTTATTTTTAAATTAATATTAATAAATAATTTAATTTATCTATCGATAAGTGATTTACCGTCTTCTAAAATGTGTGTACAATAGTGCTGTTAAATTAAACGAGTCTAACTCGGCTCCGCTCGTTTAAGGCTCGAGTTCAGCTCGAGTTCGTGGCTTAACGAGTCGAGCTCGAGCTCATTTATAGCTCGTTTGGCAAACGAACCGAGCTCGGCTCGATAAGGCTCGAAAATTGAATTTTTATATAAATTCTTATAGTTCGCCTCGTTAAAGCTCGAGCTCGGCTCGTTAAGGCCTCGATTTCAGACTCGTTTACTGCCCTAGTGTACAACAACCAAAAATAAAAATATCCGACATGATAAAATAAATTTAGTCCAAACAAATCTTATTTATTTTGGTCCAAAATTGATGTAAATTTATTGAGATCAATTAATATTAATTCTTTCATAATCTTAGTAAAAACCATATGACAAAAATTTATACCATTGATGATCTTGTAATCTTTTTATAAGGTTAACTACATAAATCAATATATAGTGTTATTTAACTTGATAAATAACCAATTAATCATAATCCAATTAAATTAAAAACAACTACATAAAAAACAACCATGATTCCCACCCTATCGACTACTAACTCTGATTTTCGTATAGAAATAGAACTATGAACATGAATGAAATATGTGGATTGCATTCATGCAGAAGTGTTTGATCGTTTCAAGAATGAAAAGGGTGAATTCAAGACGAACCTTGGTGATGATACAAAAGGGTTGTTACAGCTATACGAAGCTTCTTTCTTGTTGATGCGAGACGAGGATACCTTGGAGCTAGCAATAAATTTTTCCACCAAATTTCTCAAGAAAAAAATTGAAAATGAAGGTATTGATCAGGGAATATTCATGGATGAACATCTATCCATATTAGTGCGCAAAGCCTTGGAGCTCCCACTTCATTGGAGGGTTCAAAGGCCAAATACAAGATGGTTCATAAATTCCTACGAAATCAAGCCAAATATGAATCCGATTGTGCTGGAACTTGCCAAATTAGACTTCAACATTGTTCAAGCAACCCATCAAGGGGAACTAAAACGACTCTCCAGGTTATTAATTTAAAATCAATACTAATTCCTAGAAACTTAAAGTTGATGTATAAAGGTTGTTAGTAGTCTCCTATGGTACTATTTTCTTCTTTTTCGTTTTTATTCTTTAATATATATATATATATATATATAAATGCGCAGTTAGTTAAAGGCATTTTTCTATTTTCTATTTTATTTTTATTTTTTCTATTAACTAGATAAAGAAATTAGACAAGAGTTGATTATTTGTTTGATTGCTTGCTTTAACTTATGCATAGGTGGTGGGAGCAAACACGCCTAACAGAAAAGATGCCATTTGCAAGGGACAGACTCGTGGAGTGTTACTTCTGGGCCACTAGTGGGATGTACAATGTCGAAAATGGATATGCAAGAATTATGTCCGCCAAATTCAATGCCTTAATAACCGTAATTGATGATATGTTTGATGTCTATGCTACCTTAGAAGAATTGCGACTCTTTAACAATGCAATTCAGAGGTACTCATTATACAAACTCACTGCACCTGTTATCTATAGTGCGTTACTACTTGATCGTATTTTTCTAGTTTATATATAAATTAATGCATACTCACTCTTATTAGCTTGATCATGTTCAGGTGGGACATTGAAGCAATAGGCAAACTCCCAGACTATATGCAAATATGTTTTCTAGCACTCAACAACTTCGTCGATGAGATGGCATACGATATTCTTAAAGAAAAGGGGTTTCTCGCCATTCCACATTTGAGAAAATCGGTGACAATTATATTCCCTTTTTTTTTTTTTTTAATTTCAATACTAGTGCATTATATTCTTGATTTTAACAAAATCCTTACCAACCGATGTGCATATGTGTTTGTTGACGGCAGAAATGAGTCTCATATTGATTTATCTGACACAATTGATACAACTGACATGGTAGAATTAATTACGTGAGGCCCATTTTCCTAATTCAAATGAAAATTATTGTTAGTGAAAGAAATGAAAATAAATCGGAGCATTGGATGTGATATATAACGCTTCAGGTCCGATTAAATGGTCAAAGAGGGCGGTGACATTCTTGTAATTTTGAGTACTTTTAATTTTTCACGTGGGGGCATTTTGTCATTGTGTAAAATAAGTCGCTATTGCGCATTTTCACATATATTAATGAGCATTTCATCGAACACTATAGTGCATTATATATATAGCACGATGACATTTTAGTAAATTTAGGAACTTTCAAATGTGTAGGCAGTAACAATTTTTGTAATTTCATAAAAATATTACGGTATGTTTAATGTGCATTTTCACACGTAATAATGTGCATTTCACTTAATGTGCAGTTATCAAACTTTAGAGAAATTATAGATTTGCCCAAAGATTTCATTGCAATATTGTTAGGACGGGGACCTTGAATGGTGATAGAACCGGCAATCGAGAGCTCTGATCGTCCTTGAACCACTGAGACCTGCAAAAACTCAACGCTGGGGGTATTCCCGACGAATAGCCTTCGATGTTTAAGTTAGTACCACAAAGATGAGATCTCAGGTCTGTATCTAGAAAGTTGTAACGTATGTAGAGTGTGGAAGAAGAATTAGAGTTTACCTCAGTCCCCTATAAAATACCTGCCCGAATTCGCCTGCCCGAGTTGCCCGAACTGCCCTCGGTCAGCCTGCCCGAGCTGCCCTCGGTCAACCTGCCTGAGCTGCCCGAGGATTGATTCTAACCTTAGTCGAATGACACCTGAGTCATTCTCAAATTCCTTCTTTTCTATTCTTTAGACACTCAAGTTGTGTCTCTATGTAGTTGTAATAACTTCCAACTCCCTACATGTATCTTTTAATGTGGATCATAATACAGATACCTCCTTATACTTAATCACTGAGACATCTGTATACTTAGTTACTGAGACCTCATCATACTTAGTCAACGAGACCTCCTTATACTTAAGACTTCGGTCCACTAATAGAGTTATATCAAAGATAAAATTTTTACCCTTGAGCCCAATGAAAATCCCTCCGCCTCAAGACCACTAACAACACATCGTCACACCGCTCGGCAGCGATGCATCTGATCTTGGGGTGGCACCCATGAGTAGAAAGAATGTGGTGGGTGAGTGGGGTAGGGGATAATGTCCAAAATACCTTTATATGAGTGAAATTTTAACTTCTTTTTTACCTTTTGATTATCTGATCCTATAACTGTAATACATTCTTATTTCTTTCATTAAGAACCATTCTTACTCTTACTTATCCTTATAGGAAATAGTGTGGTGGTTTAAATTTTTTTATGGTCATCATATATTCAAGAAATAGATTATATTTTACCATTCTTTCAGACACTTGACCAGAATTAACATATGTTTCCAACACTTTTGCAGTGGGCAGATTTATGTCGAACATATTTACAAGAGGCAACATGGCACTCCACAGGTTACAAACCAAAACTCCAAGAATATATCGACAATGCATGGATTTCAATATCAGCTCCTGTTATACTGACCCACGCATATTTTTTTGTGACGTATCCTATACACAATGAGGCTATTAGAAGCTTATACGGATATCACAACATAGTTCGATGCTCATCCATGATTCTAAGGCTTGCGAATGATCTCGGCACATCTCCGGTTTGTATTACGTGTATCATATTTTATTACATTAATTATATATTAACTCCACCAAATTAGGGGGTGTTCTTGTGTACAAATGTGGGGTAGTAGTTCAATACAAAATGATTTCATAGTTTAGGTAATAGAAATTCTTAAACCATACAATCATAACAAATTTTCTCATCTTTCCGTATGTATAATTTTTAATTTGAATTATTAGGATGAGATGAAAAGAGGTGATGTGCCAAAGGCGATCCAGTGTTACATGAATGAAACTGGTGCAAGTGTGGACAAGGCACAAGCGTATGTTAGGTTTCTAATACACGAGACATGGAAGGAGATGAATGAAGAACGAGTGTTGGCAAGTTGTGCATTCCAAAAAGAATTTGTCAAGGCTGCACTTGAACTTGGGAGAATGGCACAATATATGTACCAGTATGGAGACGGCCATGGAATGCACTTCCCTCAAATGGAAGATCGTATTTCGAGTTTGTTGTTCGAGCCTATGAAGTTGTAAATATAATTTTACTATTTCATTCATGTCTTTATGTTGCATTTCTCTCTGTCACCTCGTATTTACATCTTGTAATAGGAAAGAAAACAAAAATTCGTCTATTAAATTGTTTGATGCCAATTGAGAAAATTACATCTTTCATATTAAATTCATATTGATTTGTGGTTTATTTTTGTCATTATTTTTAAATTTTTTTTTTTTTATTTTTGGGTTTATGAATCTTCTAGGAATGGTTTATGTATTGTTTGATTTTTGCCAAAATAAAATGTTGTTAATATGTAAAACGGTTGGCTCAATTTTATTTTCAACTAAGATTTAGTTATCCTTTTTGCTAGTGGATCGATTCTATGTCTAACAAACGGATCAATTATGCTTGTTAAACAAGTCGTTAATATGTATTTAATTAAAATGGTGTTGCTTCTTTTTTATGAAATGCTAGTGTGCTATGCTTAATTATTGGTCATTGAAGCACGCGTTTATTTACAATATCTATAAATCTAAAGAAATAAGAGTATCTCAACAGATAAAGCTGCAAAAAAATCGTGATTTTCATTTCAATAATAATTTAAGAAAAAATTTCAATTTTTTTGCAAATGAAAGCGTGGGTTTCTAAGTTTTTTCAAATTGAGGGTGACATTATTTTTTAATCGGTTGAAGAATTAGCATTGAAGCGATATGTACCTCAATAACTTTCTTCTTATGAACCAATCTCTAGTACAAGCGCTGGGAAGATTTCCATGCATTAAAAATCTATCCATAGGTAGTTCAACCTTCAAACCAACCAAAAAAGCTCTCTATGAGAGTGCGTACGAGAGTTGTATACCAAAACGGCAATAGGTTTTCATACATTTACCTTGTAATAATATGGAACACGTTTAAAATACTTCTGATATCAACGAGTCTTTACCAAATCTTATAGGAGATATCTTCAAGATGCAAATGGGTCTCATTTTTTTAATCATAAGAATCTTCTTTCTATAGAAAGTCTTCATTAACCAGTGTTAGAATATCACTTGTGAGTTGTCCCACATCGTTCATATATGGAAAATAGACCCACCTTATAAGACTAATGGGCTACTCCTCCTTCCACCAATTGGTTTTGGGATGGAACCCCATTTGGGCTTTATATGGGCTTTTCCCTTCTTTCATGGTATCCTTCATGCTAGTGGGCCAGCACCCATTTTTCCCCAGTTTCTGTCATGGTTTTAGAGCTGGTTCTATCTTGGACCGTGTGATGACGTACCCATTGTTTATCCCCCACGTACCCGTTTATGGGAGCCTGTTTGTAGTAGGGCTTGGGGCACCCAGCCCAGTTGGGCTTGGGCTTTCGAAGGACTCACAAGTGAGGGGGCGTGTTAGAATATCACTTGTGAGTTGTCTCACATCGTTCATATATGAGAAATAGACCCACCTTATAAGACTAATGGGCTACTCCTCCTTCCACCAATTGGTTTTGGGATGGAACCCCATTTGGGCTTCATATGGGCTTTTCCCTTCTTTCATGGTGTCCTTCATGCTAGTGGGCCAACACCCATTTTCCCCCAGTTTCTGTCAACCAGGTTTCTGTGTTTGTACCAGGTCGATCAATGTCATTTTTCACCACCAGTGTGAATTGCCACGGTGGTCGTGCGCGACGCCTGCTGAGCTTGCTGGTGAATAGGTTGTTGGGCCACTCCTGCTGCGACAGCGTTGGCTATCATCCTCTCGAGCTCCTCTCTCGACATCGTGACCAACTGGTGGTCTCCCTGCTCTGTCTCAGTCCTAGCAACTGCAACATGAACCACCGATAACCTCCCTAAGCCTGTAGGATGAAGCGTCGGGATCATTGGTGTTTGAAGAGGTCCGGGGAAGCCTGATGGTGGGCTTGTTTAGAACAGACGTGTGCTAGGCCACACATCGTCGAAGGTTGTTTCAAGGTTTTTTCTAAGAATCTCGCTCGCCATGGATGAAGAAGCTCCGATGGTTTTTTAACGGATCCCCACAGACGACGCCAAATAGTACACAAAAGACCCTCGATCGGCTGGAAATCGGCCTGATATGAGCTTCTCGCCGGTAGAACATCCCTGAGACCTGCAAAAACTCTCACACTGGAGGGGTTTTTCGGTGAAGAGTCTTCGATGCTTAAGTTAGCACTTGTAGAAGATGAAATGCAATATGTATGTATGAGTGTAGAGAATGTCATGTAACAATGGACATATCTCACTCCCATATGTAGGGAGATGATGCCTTGTTGCCCAAACCTGCATGAGTGGGCTGCCCAGACTGTCCGTTCGTACTACCCAATATGCCCGAACTGCTCAATTCTGTTAGGCCACATAGCTCTCTATCCACCTGTGGTCCTTATCCTATTAATATTTATTCTTATTTGTTAGTCTTTCTTATTAGACCGCCTAATTGTGTGACTAGCTCAAGTCCTGTCGAGGTAAAATGTTGTGTGTACCGATATTAAGTGTTGTCCTCCTGGTCAATCATACGACTACTCATACCTTCAGGTCGAGTTTCCAACAGTCCATCCAAAGGCCCTAGCTCGACCTATCGTTGCTCCTATAAACCAATCATGTCTTTTTCGATTTGAAGACTCCTTGTTCTGCTAGCACCCGCCCTACGTTCGACCTTCCTGCGACTCAGTTCGACCAACTGGTTCGCTTGGCTAGTCGGCCAGTTTGTTGGGTTTGCTCTTCCTAGTCTGGTATCTCTATCAGTATTAATTCGGGATTCTTAAATAATTATTTTTGGATTTTAAGAGTTTTGGTATATTTAACTTGGGCTTCTTAAAACTCTTAAAAGTCTCGAGGTATTTATTTGATATTTCAAAAATCTTAATAAATCACGAGGTAGAAGTATTTAACTTATTTTGAGACTAGAATTTACTATGAATTTTTAAGATTTGTTGAGATTTTATAAGTAAAAACCATATAAATAATCTCATCTTCAACTTATGATAAACTGTCCTTATAAACGAAAGGAAAAAAAAGAATATGATAAAAATAATGAAAGGAAAATTATGAGCCTCTGAATATGTATTATTCCCCATTTGGCGATTGGCGGAAACCTTATATCCTCATCAGCACAAAAATACTGTAATATATCATCCTTATCCATCTTCTTATTCCTTGCGCCACCTCAATTGTTCCCCCATTTTTTATTCCAAGCTGACAATAAACAGTGTTAATTTCAACATTTCTCTTTCTGTTTTATCGTTAATTATACGATCCATTCACATATATTCAGCTAAATCTTTGTTTCTTGTTTTTCTATTTTATCATTTTTCGTATTGTATATATTCGTGTACTAGTAATAAGTTCATCAGTCACTGCCCAAAAGCACTCAGCAATGGCGTCGATGTGTTCTCCGACGTTTCAATCTCCGCGCACGGATTCGAATCATCATAATCTTGACCTCTCCAGTTCCAGATTTGCCTCTTCTAAATTTAGCAGAAGATCGTCACGATCGGGGGTTTCTTTTTCTAGGGTTCCTGAATCCGATTTCTGTTGCCGTTGCCTCAATAGTAGCGGCGGCGACGGCGTTGGCGGAGACAGCTCGGCCTCGGGAAACTCGTGGCGGTGGGATTTTGGCATCCAGGAAACTGTTAGGAATGCGATTGAGAAGATTGATGGTTACTTGAGTTTTTTTAGGGATCATGGAGTGGAGGTGAGTCAGGTGGTTCTGGATGATGGTGAGGAGGAAGAGGATGAATGGGATTGGGATAAGTGGAGGCGACATTTCGTGGAGGTCGATGAGCAGGAGCGCATTGTCTCAATTTTGAAGGTGGATCTGCCTTTGTTTGATTTTGCGAAACATTTGTCAGTGCGATGTTGGAAGTTTCGAGCGTTGCTTTGTTTTAGCTCAGAATTTGTTGATACTGTGTTAAAGTTGCTATCGTTTGATTGCTCCATTGCGCACAAAATTATCTTTTTTTCTTTTTTCATCTCTAGTGAGGAGAGAGATGCGGCTAATTGGCTGTGGGGGAATTCATCTCTACTATCCTTTTCTGAAATTTTGGGTTCTTGCTAACTAAATGCTCTTGATTTGTCTGATTAGCTACGCTTAGGGGTTGCTTGGTATATAGAGATTAATGGGAATGGATTTGAAAATAATAATGATAGGGAACGGTAATGAAAGTATTGATTATAGTTGTATGGTTGGTTAGTTATAAGGATTATCATTAATACCAAAGTTGGGGTATATGGAGCAAAATCGCCTATATTTCTATCGAATCCGTATCCCCAACTAAAACCCTCTACAAAACACTAATGGTCAAATTTACTGATGTGGTTTCTCTTAATTCTCAACAGTCTCAGCTGGCAAGTGCAGTCAAGAGAGAGGATTATGAAGATGCTGCCAGGATTAAGGTTGCAATTGCAGCTGCTGCTACAAATGATACTGTTGGCAGAGTGATGTCCCATCTCAAGGTAGCAATTCTCTCTTGCCATTGACAAATATAAATGTTTTTATTACTCTCTCTCTCTCTCTCTCTCTCTCTTTGTGTGTGTGTGTGTGCGCGCGCACGCCCGTGTGTGCGTGTTTGTGTTTGTGCGTGCGCGTGCGTGTGTGTGTGGATGCTCTCTTCGACTCTTCCTGTTATGACTGTTGATGTATACCTATAATTTAGCTTATCTGATATTCTACAATCCAAGTGCAGAAGCTTGTGGAGGAAGAACGTTATGGAGATGCAGCTCTTATACGTGACTACGCTGGTGCTGGATTGGTGAGTTAGCCTAATGTTTTATGAATGGCCTGTGTTTGTAAATACACGAGTATTTGGCAGTTTTACTAAATTATAATCACCCCCACCCACTTAGGCACCTAAGAAAGTGAAAATTATTGGGTGCAAAACATTTTGTTGCTTTCTTATTCTAGATTCTGATGTTTGTTCTATGGACCTGCTATTCAGGTTGGATGGTGGGCTGGAATTTCAGAAGATGCTGATGATCCTTATGGTCGTATTATTCGTATAAGCGCTGAGTATGGGCGATATATAGCTAGAAGTTACAGTCCTAGGTATATTGTGCTATTTACATAATTACATTACATTCCCTGTCCACAAATATAGGCATGCTTATTCACATAGTTTTATAATACATCAGCAGTAGCAAAAATGAAATTTATGAGTACTTATCTAATATAACCTGTTAATAACTTTTGCATATTTATGATTCCATTTCGTTGATAGCCATCACAATTGATTGCAGTGCCTCTGTTTTTCATTTCTTGACAGGCAGCTTGCCGCAACCTCAGATGGTGCACCCCTATTCGAGATTTATCTTACAAACAGCAAAAAGGGTGGTTATAAGCAACAGGTATCATCCTTAATCTTGATGCTATTAACTTAATATAGTGAATAGACATAGTTGCTTTGACGCCATCCTTTTTCTTTTTTTTTCCTGCTTCATTTTGCTTCCTCGATTACTTATGTACAGTTATTAGGAGTGAGCATATTTTCATCATTCATTAGAACACCTGGTTGACTATTCGTAATCACTAAAATATAAAATTTTATGAATCACTTGATGTAGGCCGTTTACTTAAAACGCAAAGATTCTCCCCAAGATCTCCATTTTCCATTCTCAAAGCCTACCGCAAGTTCCAGAAGCCGGGACGCTCGTGATGCGGGGGACAACAACAAAAGCAAGCTCTTTGAAATAAGCTCCGAGGATACAGACAGTGAAGACATGGATGATGATTTCAGTTTCGATAATATCTTACATGACATGATTCCTGGTGTGAAGGTGAAGGTTGTGAAGATAACATCTCCCGAGAAGCTTGACATGGATATGATATCTAATGTGATCAAGCAGATAACAGATGATGACGAGGAAGTACAAGATTTCGACTTTGAAGATCTGGATTCTGATGATGAAACTAAAAACGAAAATTCTGATGATGATCACAATGATGGCATTGAAGTGGATTCTGCTACTGGATTAACAGATGGCAGTGAGCAAAATCAGATTTCAGTTGGAGTTGTCATTGATGGGTTCGTCACGAAAATTTCGCATGGCCCTGATGTTAAGGAATTACTCCGTGTTCCTGCTAGACTGGAGAAAAAGGATCGGGCATCATTTACGTTTACTGTAGAGGAGGATGATAGTGAGAGTCTCTCACAGTTTAGGCAGAACAAAAGAGCTAATAAGTCTCGAACCCTACGTAGCATTGACAATGTTATGCTTAATCTCATGAAGTCCATTGCCAAAAAGAAAATCTCAATGAAGGTTTGTGTAAATTTTTTTATTAGTTCGGTGGTTTCGTTGAGAGTCGTTAAAAAATTTTACGCAAAATGTGGCAGGTTCTTAAAGATGTTAGTGACTTGTTAGATCATACGATCAGTCAAGCTCGTAACCGGCAGCCTCTATCTGGGTCAACCACGTTTCACCGCATTGAAATATCATCATCTTCGGATCCACTGAATGGTATCAATTAATTAATTAATTAATTATTATTATTACTTTTAAGTTTTTGGTTGGTGTTTGTGTGCTGTTTCATGCTGTTACAGAAAGTGTGTTCATTATTCAGGACTGTATATTGGTGCACACGGGTTTTACACTTCGGAAGTTATTCAAATGAAGCGTAGATTTGGTCAGTGGAAAGATGATGGAAGCAGAAAGAAACCATCAAAAATCGAATTTTACGAGTATGTTGAAGCTGTAAAATTAACTGGTGATGCTTATGTTCCTGCTGGTCAGGTAATTTAATGATCATATAATATCTGCTTATGCTGGTAGTCCACCTAATATTATTTCCTTGTCTTCAATATATCTGCATAACATGTTAATGTAATTCAAATTTAATCAAATTGTTACATCAACTACTATTGTAGGTTGCATTTCGAGCAAAAGTTGGAAAAAGATATCAACTTCCACATAAAGGGATCATTCCCGAAGAGTTTGGGGTGGTATGTTAATCTCTTACACTTAGTTTACCTATCAACAAATTTCAGTACTAATACTCTTATATCTTATTTCATCATATTTGCAGATTGCTCGATATAGAGGACAGGGAAGATTAGCTGATCCTGGATTTCAAAATCCTCGATGGGTTGATGGTGAACTTGTGATTTTGGATGGGAAGGTTCAATATTTTCCAGAACGATTTGATTTGATTTTATTTTATTTTATTTGCTGTGTGTTTTTACACTTTCCCAACTGATTGCACGCGTTTTGTCCACAAATTTCTGCAGTACATTAAAGGAGGCCCAGTTGTTGGATTCGTCTATTGGGCTCCAGAATTTCAATACTTGGTATTCTTCAATCAACTAAGGCTGCTGGATTGAGCAAATTTCAGATCTTCTTTGTTGCCATTTTTTCGGATCTTCTTCTGTTTTTTCGCCTAATCCTTTGGGAGGCTGGATGTGCTAGCAGCAGTTGAGGCCAAGTTCTTATGTGAGTTGTGACTCGGTCTTTACATCAGCACAATGTATGACTAGAAACTCTGTGTAAGTAACCTCCAATTTTTCAATTTTTTTTTTTTAAGTTGTAATAGTTACTGTATGACAGGCTCATGCAACACATACTACTTAGTCTGTTACGGAGTTGCTTTTTCCTCTGCGGAATGTATATATCATCTGCTGTATTGTGTTTCGACTTTAGATTTTGTTGTTGGATTTTTCCTCAGAATAATAGAACTTCATTAGCCTTTGTAGATACGAAAACTAAATTGAGCTAATGCACATTAATTTTGCAGTGTGTCATTTTCATGTTTATTTGCAAATCTCAAGTGAGTCATAAATCGAGCTAATGCGAAAAATCTTCTGTTTGCATATCAATCTGCATAATGCATTTAGACATAATACTTGAAACAGATGAAGTGAAATAAAACAGAGTCCTCTGTTTTATATAATGCCTAAAAGTGGCTACACAACTTTAGATTTTAGTTTATGATTCTTTTTTATAAAGAGACAGACGGAGATTGTCCTGGATATGAGATGAATGACGTATCACAATAACTTCACCCCATGTTTTGAAATAAGTAAATAAGTGTAAATTGCAATTTCCATCCATTATGTTTCCGATCCTTAGAGCATCTCCATAGCAGTGTGAAAGATCATTATTTTTAACACATGTCAATTAATGATTGTAATGTTAATCCACATTGGAATAATATTAAAAGACTAGAAATTTGAATGAAACTAGTATCTCCAATGCATCAATTTGATAAGAAGTTAAATGTATAGGTGGACCAATTAAATAATTCATTGAAACAAGAAAAATAAAAAATTAAAATAAATATAAAGTAAATTGATGAGTCATCATGTTTAACATGGTGTAAATATTAGAAAGTGTGCTCAACATTGTCAACATTAAATGACATCCACCTCATCATGAAAAAGTTCATGACAAGATGCATTGGAGAAAAAAATAGTAACACACTTTCAAAAATTGATGATATGGATGACTTTTTATAATATCAAAATTGCTCTTAGAAATTTGGAGCACACATATCATCCATTTTCCCAAAATTGATAACTTTGTGTGTTTAACTAATTAACGGGATATGTAATCCGCACTGGCGAATCTGGATTAGTGAATCCTGATTAGGAAAGTAAATTGAGCTATCTGCATTCTGCCACCGTGAATCAAGATTAGAGACATAATCTTTCCATGTTTGGCTGTTTGTTACCTGATGGATCATTTACGAAGTTATCAATTATCGACGACAAAATGTAATCCACACAATTATCGACGACAAAATTATTATATTTTTCTAATTAACTCATGCGCATCATTTACGAAGCATTTACGATCGATGATGGATTTAGATGGTCAGCAATATATTGAAACATTTAGCAGATAGAAATCAATTCTAGCAACTCAGATTGGAAATGGGGAACTCAATTTTTTGCAGATGAATAAAATGTATATAGTACTTGTTGAGAAATGAAAACAGTGAACACAAAGGTAAGAACACTTCTTAGTAAAAACCTTCATTTGTATTGCCCATCAAAAAGGGTGTTAACTTTTGGAAGTAGAAATACATCACACAGTGACATAAATCATGCAACAAATATTTTTTCACTAATTCTCAGCAAGACACTTAATATTTTTTTCACGAATTTTTAGCTCTTTACAGACACCTCATCAGTCGTTGCTGCTTCTGGTTTGAAGATAATTTCTACATTATCATGAACTCCTTGCAACAGTAATTCACCTTCATAAGTTAGGATTTTACGTTTTTCCAATCAAAAATTAGAATCAGCACAAAATTATCGTACGAAACGGCCTAACAATTAGATGAACTGACATGTCACACCTTTTTAACAAAAAAAAAAAATGCATACTTATGCTATGAAATGTCGTACTATTGTTTACGTTGATTTTTTTAGAGTACGCGTTTCAATTCGAAAGTATGTATAATTGTTGAAAAAATTATGGTTGCCTAGTCGTACATACTAATATTTTAAAAAATCAATTTGCTAATCCTATCAGTCATCACTCTCAATCACACCAAAAAAAATTGGGGAAATCTAAATAAAATGCACTTTCTGACCTAAGAAACAGTTGCACAACACTTTAATTTCCTCAGCAAGCATTATATTCTCGGATCAGAAAAAAGCTAGGAGCAAGGGTAAAACTTTATTCTAGAAAAGGATCGTTGGTTTCAGTTGAAGAAAACTCATGAAGCAACAAGAGAATAATCGGACATAACACCGTCGACTTGCTCAGAAATGAAAGTTGAATCAAATCAAAGACTNGAAATGGGGTCGAGAATGCTGAATGCGAGAAGGTGTGACCTTGTAGGAGCCATCTGGTTGGGCTTGGCCGAGACGGCGGATCTCTTCCTTGAGTCGCCCAACTTCTTCTTCAACGTTCATGCTTTCTGCTGATGCGATTTCTTTTTCTATCTTGTTTCGGCAGATTTTTTTATTTTATTTTATTTTTGTAGCGGATTAGAGATATTAAAAGAGATATTAAAAGTGCGGATTTTATTATATTTGGGGGTGTATTTAATTAGGATTTTTAAGGACTTTTTAAGACTTTAGAAATCCTGGTGTATTCAATTTAGATTTGTTAAAACTTTTTAAAACTTTTAAAAATCCTGGGATATTCAATTGGGATTTTCAAAAGTCTTACAAAATCCTGAGGTATTTAATTTTTTTGACACTAGGATTTATTAAGACTTTTTAAGATTTTGTGGGATTTCTAAACAAAAAAACCTTATATGAAATCTCACTTCAAATCCTACCTCCGGACTTGAGATTTCATAGAATTCTTCCAAAATCTGAAAATCCTAGAAAGTCTCAAATCTCGAAAAGTCTTAAAATGTCACTTAAATTCCGAATTGAATACATTAGAGCATCACCAATGAAGATTGTGTAGTATGACATGGAGAAAGGGAATTAAAAAATTTGTCTTCAATGGTTAGTGTTAATTGTGGTGTCATTTGTGATGTGTAAAATTGTAATTGGTTGGAGAAGAGAGATAAATTGAAAAAATAATACAATATATAATAGAAGTTGTTTAGAAGTACTTCTACATTTAGAAAACCTTCCAGACATTTTTATGCCACGTCAGATTTTTTATGCCATGTGGCAATAATGTAAAGCAGTGGAAATGGCATTGGAGATGCTCTTAGGATAAGACGCTACAATGGCATTTGAACAAATAAAATTGTATAATAAAGTTAATAAATAAATTTACAACAAATAATGACTAGCGGATACAGCGATAACTATTTAAACTACACAGATTTTTTCCTCAAATTGTCAAAATAATTATTTTAATTATATTTATAAAATTATATATGTGTAACACAAATATTATTTATAACTTTGCTAGGCGTCTTAATGAGGATAAAGGGGTATCTAATGATGATGAGGACGAGATCAAGATAAGGATTAAAGTTCGGGCAGCTAGGCGGTTACGGACAAGTTGACCGGGCAATAGAGCAGCTCGGGTAGCAAAATCTTAGGCACCAAAGTACTCTCCTATAAAAGGGAATTGAGGTAGCCTTGAAATTCTCTCTACACTTTTTACATATTCTATACAATTCTCTACATACATAGCACATTGCCATTTTCTTCTCTGTACTGATTTGAGTGTCGAAGTGGTCACACCAAGAACCTTCCTGGCACTTGTTTTGCAGATAGTTGGGGACTCAAGGACGATCAAAGCTTCACATCAGATGGTTCAACCTAGAACCAGGTCTCCGACACATCATTTGACGCTGTTTGTGGGAAGCTTTGTAAGATTTAATAGCTCTCTCACTAGATTTCGATCAACTGATACAGCTGACAGAGAAGTAGTACAAGGTAACTTATCGGAGGATTTCAGGCAATAATTGAATTGTTTTTTAATTAAAATAATAAATAACAAATTAGAACAGACATATAAATAGGATATCTAAATCTGAAAACTGAAAAGGAAAACAATTAATATTTAATATAAAAATTAAAATAGTAAACATGTAAGTGTGGGTAAAAATTAAAAGCTGATCTATATTAGAACTGCTTGGTAATATATAAATAGAATATTCATAATTGAAATCTTATTTAGATCCATCATTATACACTATAAAATTAATAATAAAAATATATGCAATTATACACCATACATAAAAGAAATAAAGAGTTACATATTAATTAAACCGGTTCGACCAGTTTGATCATTGGTCCGACTAGTAATCCATTGAACATCTACAATGCATTGGGTCTAGCTTTGCCTTTGTGCCATGTGAATTAACTTAAGTTTTGGATGACATTGATAACTATGTAATATTAATAAATTTCACTCCAAGGCAAAGAGACTAAGTCTCTATTGAATTTAAAAAAGAATTAAAGGTAGTCCGAGTCTCTTTTTCTTGTTGTCATATCAGCACGACTCAGTCTATTTGCACTTGTATTAAAAAATATATTTTTATAGACTGAGTTTATTTCCTAAATGAAATATAATTTTTTTTTATTGAACTCAAAACATTGTGAATGCTCTCAATGAACCGGTAGTTTTTTTCTTTTTCCTTATCAAATTGCTCAAATATACTACCTCCTATTCTTTTTAAATGTCATTTTAGCTATATCAACTACTAGTACGAATCCCGTGCATAAGAGATATTCATTAGTATTTATAAATTAAAAATAATTATTAGATAATATTTATAAATTAAAAATATTGAATCAATATGTAATACATTTACCTATATTAATTTATTGAATATGTTATATGAATTTTATATCGTGAAAAATTACATAAAACATGTCAATTTAATTAGTATACAACCCGTATGGTGCACGTAACTGATAATAAATTACATTATATTTATTTCAAAATAAGTGTCATTTTAAAATATTTATTCAAAAATTCGATTGGACTACAATGTGATTCCATAAAATAATTCTTTTGGTAAAATTTTATCATATATTTAAAAATCTATGTGAATAATAAGTACAATCATAAAACTTATAGTGTTCATTAATTAAAATGAATTTAATTTTGTATAAACTATCAAAATAAAAAAATTCAAGTTGTTGAGTAATTTATTAAACTATAATTAATTGACTATTTCATTTATGCCTAAGTTAATATTGACATGTAAGTTATGAATAATTATTTATTTGACTTTTAAAGTTGTGAACCTAACAAATATTTTATGTGGACCACAATCCATCTAATTAATTGACATTTGTCAAAATTTATATAATAACAACATTTATGCAGTGGAGATGCTAAAAGCTTAGCCATTTCAAAATCTTTTTAGATTAATATTTTAGTTATCCACAGATTTATCAAATAGGTGTTTGGTGAAGATTTATCAAAATCTTTTTAGATTAGTAGTTAGTTATGCACAGATTCCATCATGAGTTTCCACATATTATTGTTCCAATATGATCTCTACACCATTAATTTTGAATTCAAATGTGATCTTTATTTTTTTTTTTAAAATATTCATCTCCATCTCCATTAATGAGGGTTATTATTGACTAAAAAAGTTAAAACATTCATCTCTATTTTCATTAATGAGGGTTGTTATTGACAAAAAAATTATTTTTAATTAGTGTGCAACTTTCTAAAACGACACTTATTATGAATAGGAGGCGTATCTATTTATCAAAAAGTGCTCAATCTGCCAATATTTCAATTAGCATATAAATAATAATAATGTAAAAGTAAAAGCGGAAGCTGTGAAAATTACATACATCGGTTGACTCAGCCGAGTCTCGAAACTCTCTCCCATGTACGGGCCACCGCACGCCTCCATGAATAACCCCACCGCCGACCACCGCCTCCACCGCCAGGGTACAACTCGTATCGACGAAGACGATGAGGACGACGTCTTCCAGTGCTCTAATGGGGACGAGTCCGTGGAAAACCCTTCATCCCAGATCGGGTGCGACCCGGCGAACAACTCCCACTCGCCGCACGCGCTGGCCACCATAGAGGCGCCAGTGGAGGCGAGTGGCCCCCACGGTCTCTACAACCCGGACATGGATCCGGCGGCGCCGCCAGACGCCGGGGAGGGTGGGGCCGACCAGCTCACCCTGTCGTTTCAGGGGGAAGTTTATGTTTTCGACTCGGTTTCCCCGGAAAAGGTTACAATTTCAATCTTCGTTTTGAGATGGGTTTCATCTATTTTCCTTCAATTGGTGGTATTTTTTGTTTACTTTTGCCAGTGAAGGGTTGTTATCTTTGCGATTTTTGTGCGTTTTCCTTTTGGGCTTTCCTTCAGTCAATGTTTTTATCTGTTTTCTGCACACTTAATATTGGTTTAACTGGCGATGAGTATGAATCAAAGTTAATTATCTTTGTTGATTCTGCAGAAATTTATCATTTTTGTGCTGTTTGTTTTTGGGGGCTACATTGCAAGGGTTAGGAGTAATAAATGCTCTATATAACATATTCTTGTGTGAGGCGGTCTAACCGTTAGGCGGTTCGAACCATCATACATTTGTTGCAAAAATGCATACTTATGTTATGCAATGTCATCTTTGTGTTGGCATATCCAGTTGAAGCCTTACTATTGTTCTATTCATTCATATCTCAGGTCCAGGCAGTTTTGTTACTATTGGGCGGATATGAAGTACCCGCAGGTATCCCTACTCCTGGGATGACTCCTCAAAATCCTAGGGTATGCTCCAAATAGCTATGTCCTCAATAGCTAGTAATTTCTCTCGGCATTAGCTTTGAGTTTTCTATTGTCTTTGTTTGCCTGTGCAGAATATGGGCGATTTTCCTGCGAGGTCGAGCCATCCACAGCGTGCTGCCTCTTTGAACCGGTTTAGAGAAAAGAGGAAAGAGCGATGTTTCGAGAAAAAGATCCGATATACCGTTCGCAAGGAAGTTGCTCTCAGGTAGTAAAGAAGACTTGACACGAATAGTTTATTGAGAAATTCACAGAAGTGCAACCTTTTTCACTTTGTGTTGGCAAAAATGCCACCCTTGGGCGTAATATTGTTTTTGATCGTGAAAAATGAAGGAGGCAGTTTCAGCTAATACAAATTGAAAAAAGTGGCATTTTCGCTAATTCCCTAATTAGTTAATGCCCTACAGTCTCTGACGTGATGTGAGACTTCTCAATACTTGGGCTGTATCTCTAATAATGGTTGAGAAAGTTGATGTCAAACATTATTGGTGATAACAGGACAGCTCTGAAGGATGCTAAAACAAAGCTAAATATACTACCATTCAAGTTTTTATGTCAAAGTATTTATTCATGTACCATGATATTGGATATATATAAAGATAGGCTTCTTGCTTGTGGTTTTTTCTTCTCTCAGTACTTGTGTAGTCTTTTCCCATGGACTGTCCAGATTGTGAGGTTTTGTCTGCTGAGTTGTTTTTAACTGTTTTTTATATCTCGTCCCTTTTTATGACAAGTCCATATTGGCACCTATTGTTTCACTTGCCTATCCTAAAATTTGATTTTTATCTCACACATTTGCAATCTGCCAGGATGCAGCGTAAGAAAGGGCAGTTCACATCGTCCAAGTCAGTTGGTGAAGAAACAGGTTCATCTGCTGATTGGAATGGAACTTCGGGCTCAGAAGAGCAAGAGACCTTGTGAGTGCTGATATTTTTTATGGTTCTTTAGTTCTGTTAATTTTTCTTCATGCTTCTTGCTTTGGGCTAGAAAATTTAAAATTTGAAATGAACTTGGATTTTGAGCCACAGAGGTGACTTTTTAGTGTAGCCTTTGGCCCTTCATTACTTGCTAGAAATAATGCTAATTTTGCAAAGCTTTCAACAGGTGCCGGCATTGTGGGACTAGCTCAAAATCCACTCCTATGATGCGACGTGGGCCAGATGGCCCACGAACTCTGTGCAATGCTTGTGGTCTCAAATGGGCCAACAAGGTGTGTGTATGAGAATCATTAACATGGTGTAACTTGTTAATTTTGTCTATGGTGGCTGTGAGTTTTATATTTCCTTTTCTTACTGTTCTGTGCAATTGTTGCCAATCTTTTGAAAATTTACTGTCATTGCGTATGCACACTTTCATTTTCTTTTGGCTTGGAGTTGCTGTTTTTACATAAATAAGCTTGCTGACTGAAAGTCTTGCTTACTACTGATTTATTTTATACTAGAGATGAAATTATCTCGTCAATTGTCATCCTAGGAGCTTTCTTAATGCCTTAGTCTCCTGCCATTTCTGATAAAAAGTTTTCTTGTTCTAATCTAATATTTAGTCATTATATTTTCTTCCAAGAACAGGTTCCCAATCCCTTTTAAGCCTTTTGTATTGCACATTCATATGTATCTAAATCTTTCAATATATTTGGATCCTATCTTTCTTATTTTTCACAATTTGCATAAATATCAATATGGGTCGGGTCTATTTACCTACACCCAAGAAAATGATCATCCACCTTGAGGCGAACAATCACATTTTCACAGTTTTTGAAGATAGTCCCTTTACACACTAGTCCTTTTTTTACTGATATGAACATAGCAAGTTCCAATTTGGGAAATTATTCCTCAGGGGGTCTGATGTTTTCACAAGTATTATCGCTCTCTTAATCAACTCAAAATGTTGCAGGGAGTCCTGAGAGACCTTCCGAAAGTTCCCATCATTGGCGTGCAACAACATGCTATGAAGGCAGGTTTTTCACATATTTAAAAANAGAAAGATTACACAACCCACCCCTGAGCTTCTGCCTAAATCCTAATCATGAAAAGTGCAATCTGGAAAAGATTATCAAATATGTTTAAGTGGATATTTATTATATTTTTCAAAGGATAACTGATAACACTTGTTAAAAAGAGGTTCTGGAATTTGCATGTACCTGTTAATTTTACACTCTTTTTCTCTATCGATCAGCAGCTTGAGCGTGAAGCAAATGGAATAGATAGAGTCTTGCCACCAGCCAACATGATAACATCTTCCAGTGGAGACAACTGATTTATTTCACCTGCTCGGCAGTTAAAAATAAGAACTTGCCAGCCTACCTTCTCTTTAGCCATTAAGCATTAAGAGTAAGCTGTAAATATATTTTCCGTACTGGGTTTTGTCGGGTATATGTGGATCACATACACTACTCATCCTTGTGTATTCTTGGTTTTTCGTATTTTCCCAATATATGTTGGAATTGGGTTTTGCAGATTTGGCGTTTCATATATTTAATGTTAATAGGAAAGCTGCATATGTTCTTCATTTGTCTCTGGTTTTATGTGCAGGAGCTTTACTAATATTGCTTGTGCTCTCTCTCTCTAGGCACATTTGTAGTTTAGATGAAAATGGAGCTTATTTTGAATAATCTTATAATTAGCTCGTAACATGAGCTTAAGCATCGAATTTATAGTACATCGTGTATGTATCTTTATTCTTTACTAACCTGGTGTTAACTCTTGCATAAAAATGCATCAAGTAATAAAATGATGGTAAAATTGTGCCGTCATTGCAGAGATGAGTTGAACGCAATTTAAAAATAAAATGTAATCATTATTTAATATTTTTACCATAATTTTAACTACTAATTAATATAATTAGTATTTTAGTATTTTCATATCATATCTAACTTTGATCGTATTTTTTTTCTTTCATATACAATACACTCACATTTTTTCTTTTCAGAAAATATATTCGTTTTTTAATTTTTGATTCCCGGTTTTGGGATTGAGATATAATTTTTCCAAAAAGTCTTATACCAAGAACCAAGTATTTACCTACCCTACAAAAACAGAGAAATAAATAAATATTAATCCATCATATGATGTCGTTTTATTTTGTAAAATACAGCATGAGCATACAGTGAAGAAAATGCTGAAATAGTTCTATTGTGGGGGCAAAACTGCAAATTGAATCCATGAGAATTCTCCTTTCTCTCTTCTCGGCGATTTCAACCTAATCCCCTTACTTCCTCACAGTAACTTTCCGATTTGCGCCGCTTAGCCTTCCTCGGCGACGGAGAGGCTCGGGTCAGTGGTCTCCCTTGACTGCCCGGCCCGTCCTTGACGTCGCGCATCCCCACCGTTGCTGCAACTGTTAGCGATGGACTTTTCGCCCTCGGTCGTCGGCGAGTTCGCGATTGTGGTGGTGCGCCCTCGATCTGAGTCCCGTAGCTTCCCCTCGCCAGCGGGTCATAGATTAGAGTGGTTTTGCCCCTTGATCTTCTTCTTGTCTGCGATTGGTGGTCTCCCAGTCATCTCTGCAGTTTCTGGTGGGGCTTCCAGTGGTTGCGGGGGTCTAGTCGCCGACAGTCTGCGGTGGGGTTGGGTGGAGCGCGGGTCTGCGGGCGGGGCGAGACTTTGGCGGCTGCGACACCCTGTGTCGGGGAAGCCAGGGTTGTGGGACCGGGCCGCTCTCACCTCCGGTCCTCTGGTGTTGGGGACGGGTGGGGTCCGGAGCACCCGAGCTCGGCTAGTGGTGTTAGACGAATTAGAGCTGTGATGGTGCGAGGAGTTGGTGCCGTCGTTCTCTCGGTTGGAGGTGGGTCGTTTCGGGGTTTGGTTTGGGGCTCGGGCTCGACTTCTGTATAGGCAGTTTCGCAGTTTCGGTAGTGGTGCTTAAGCCTTGGGAGCTTCCTTGGATCGATTGTTATCTGCTGGTTGGACCTGTTTGTTTATTGGGGAATGTTGTGAATTTTGGTTTTTGTTTTTTGTTTTCTGTTGTTTTTTGACGTCTGTGTTTGTGTTGTGTAGGTCTGTGTTTTCGGTTTGGGCCATTGGCCTCTGTGTGTCCAAGTGTCAACTTATTATTCTGTTGGGATTTTTTTTAGTAGTTTCCGTTTTTATTTGTGTAGTTGGTTTAGTTTAGTTGCAAGTGTTGTTATTCTAGATTTGCTAATGTCGGGATTCTAGACGGTCTTCTGACATGTCCTCCACTTTTTCGGCTGTTGATTATTCCATTCAGCTAGGGGTTGTGTATTTGCACATTTGTGTTATTTTGATTTATAATATCGTTTCGGGAAAAAAAATCCATGAGAATTTAAATATTTGTTGAAACATCCAACATTCACATATTTCGGCCGTCACAGATGATGACGAAATCGTTCTTGCTTGTGCAAGACATTTTCTGGAAAGTTGATCCAAAATTAATAGAATTGTCTCCAATGATGTCCATATAACTTGAATTTAATATCCAGACATCACATGCAATTTTTTAACTTCATATGCCTAATGGTAGCTGCAGGACTAAACATTGCAATTAAAACTTGGACTGTAACTAGACTTGTAAACGAGTCGAGACAAGATCGAGCTCTTAATACTTGAGCTCGGGCTCGAGAAAGTCAAGTCAAGTCAAACTGAAGCTTTAACAAGCCGAACTACGCTAATTATTCTAGAATTACATAATATTTTCTATTTCTCAAGCTTAAAAAGCCTTAATGAGTCGAACCAAGCAGATGAGCAATGTGCTTTAACCATAACTAGACAATGTTGGGCTTTATAAGCATATATCTGGCTACGAATATCCATCACAAGTCATGGACAAACCGCTTAAGATGCAACGAAGATACATCACAAGTCCTCAGTACAAATGGTCATAACAAGTTGTGTGTATGAGAGAGAGAGAGAGAGAGAGAGAAAGAGAGAGAGAGAGAGAGAGAGGGAGAGAGAGAGTGTGTAATATCCCACATCGGTTGTTAAGGAGAACGAAACATGCCTTATAAGAGGGTGTGGATACCTTAACTTGTAGGACGCGTTTTGGTGAGCTAGCTCCCAAAGGCAAAACCGTGCGGGTAAGCGGGCCCAAAGCGGACAATATTCTACAACGGGTGAGCTGGGCTGTTACAGATGGTATCAGAGCCAGTATCCGGACTGGTGTACCAGCGAGGACGCAGGGCCCCCAAGGGGGGTGGATTGTAATATCCCACATCGGTTGTTAAGGAGAACGAAACATGCCTTATAAGAGGGTGTGGATTCCTTAACTTGTAGGACGCGTTTTGGTGAGCTAACTCCCAAAGACAAAACCGTGCGGGTGAGCGGGCCCAAAACGGACAATATTCTACACCGGGTGAGGTGGGCTGTTACAGAGAGAGAGTGAGAGAGAGAGAGAGAGAGAGAGAGAGAGAGAGAGAGAGAGAGAGAGAGAGAGAGAGAGAGAGAGAGAGAGAGAGAGAGAGAGAGAGAGAGAGAGAGAGAGAGAGAGAGAGAGAGAGAGAGAGAGAGAGAGAGAGAGAGAGAGAGAGAGAGAGAGAGAGAGAGAGAGAGAGAGAGAGAGAGAGAGAGAGAGAGAGAGAGAGAGAGAGAGAGAGAGAGAGAGAGAGAGAGAGAGAGAGAGAGAGAGAGAGAGAGAGAGAGAGAGAGAGAGAGAGAGAGAGAGAGAGAGAGAGAGAGAGAGAGAGAGAGAGAGAGAGAGAGAGAGAGAGAGAGAGAGAGAGAGAGAGAGAGAGAGAGAGAGAGAGAGAGAGAGAGAGAGAGAGAGAGAGAGAGAGAGAGAGAGAGAGAGAGAGAGAGAGAGAGAGAGAGAGAGAGAGAGAGAGAGAGAGAGAGAGAGAGAGAGAGAGAGAGAGAGAGAGAGAGAGAGAGAGAGAGAGAGAGAGAGAGAGAGAGAGAGAGAGAGAGAGAGAGAGAGAGAGAGAGAGACAGGTTGGTTACGAGAATGTCAACATTTAAATTGTGGTGGGCCCAGTAATGTGGTGGATTGTTTGTATGTGACTAAATATCCATAATACCCTTAATGATGATATAATTTTGCCTTTTTTTTCAGCAATTATATCATCCGATCTAATGGTTACAATTCATTCTTATTTCTTTCATTGAGCAACATTCTCACATGATATATATATATATATATATATATATGTGTGTGTGTATATGAATTATATAAGGAATTTTACCGTGTAGTTCGAATTTGGGTTCCAAATTTAAAAGTCAAATGAGTAATTCTTCATAACTTACGGATCAATATTTTAAATTGGACCTAAATGAAAAAGTCAATTATTTATCGTTTAATAATTACTCATCTACTTAAATGTTTTGATTTGGATAGCTTGTACAAAAATAAATTCAGTTAATTAATAAAACAATATAATTTTTATAATTATACTTATTATTCACATAAATTTTTAAATATATGATAAAGTTTTACCAAAATAATTATTTTATGGAATCACATTGTAGTCAAATTGAATTTCTGAATAATAATTTTAAAATGACACTTATTTTAAAATGAATATAATGTAATTTACAATAATTACGTGTACCGTACCGGTTGCGTACTAATTTTAAAGTGACATGTTTTATGTAATTTTGACAATATAAATTTCATATAATATTTTAAGTTCGATTTAGACCTTGCCAAGCTACATGAAACAGATTTCCGGAAGTCCACAGAAAAATGATTGCTAATTGCCCGAAGTGAGAAGCAAAAATTAATATATTAAATTGTATTACATATTAATTTTATATTTTAATTTAAAATATTATTTAATTAGTATTTTTTATTTATAAATATCGTTGAATTTCTCTTAACCGTGTATCACACGGAATTCGTACTACTTAAAATTTAAAACCAATAGAACAAACGAAATGCTTTATCACAAGGCTAATTTTGTCAAACAACGAAATCAATTTTGACCTGGCGAAATGACATTCCGTAGCTTCCTCTCCAAGAAATCAGAAACATCTAGAAGGTAGGTGACGGCCGCATCACAATACATAAAGAGCTTTCGTTCCATTTGGAGCCACAAAACCGTATACAATTAATTTCCCTTCCAATTACTTCTAAGGTTTACGACGTCGTTTCTCGATACTCAGAGAAATCAATGGGTCGCCGAAGCTCCGGTGGTGAGTTTTCCCATTAGTTTTTTTTTTATTATTATTATTTTTTTTCCCGATCTGTGGCTGTTAACAAGGTTTTGTATCGCGTTTGTTTCAAATATTGCGAGTGGATTTTTGTGCTCGAGCTGTTGTTATGCATGCCTGTAATTCATACGTTTCCTTGTTTTAAGTGATGTGTTTCTATTCATGTTGGAGTAAAATGCTTCTGATTTGCTTGATGTCCATACTTGATTGATAATTAGGGGAATGAATTGGTCAATCGTTTAGGCTAATTTGGTCCTTAGTCTGTGTAATGGATGTTTTAAATCAATGTTCATTGGGAATAGCAAGATAGTGGGTGAAAATTGATTGAGGAGCGCATGTCGATTTGAGATTTTGAATGTAATTCTACGACTTTTGAAATATTTTGATTTTAGTGAAATTTGTAGAAGTTTAATGTCTGGTGGCATTTGACATATCTATTTTGGTTTTGAAATATAAGTTTTAAAAAGTCCAAAGAAATTTTAGTGGTAAATAAATTTACTTTTTAACACATTTTAAAATCTCAATTGAATACACCATAAATCTAAAAATTTCCAAAAGTATTTAAAAACCTGAATGATTACACCCTCCCCCTCCCTACCGAGTTCCGTTGTATTGTTTTATATATATATATATATATTCTAATGTAAATGTTTTGAACGATTATTTGCTAGTTTTGAAGTATTGACTTGCTTTGGATATTGTGTACATTATGAATTTTAATATATACCACCTTGCAATCTTCCGTGTCGAATCAGTATTTTATGAGTATGTACTTTGAATATGGTTCGAATTCAATAGTTTCCATGACATTATTCCAATTGGTTTGTTTGTCACTATCATGAATTTTTGCTGTTACTATAGATCTGAGGCGTGTTTGTCTACTTGTTAATGGTTTCTTGTTAATGGTTTCTTGTTGTTTAGTTGCAATATAGTGGCTGAGTCCTTAATTTTTGATCATCGGATTCTAATCTATATATATATAATTGCTAGCTAAGCAATAAATTTTACCTAATAAATAAAACCTAATAAATTTTACCTATGTGGCAAATCATTAATAAAACCTAATAAATAGAACCTAATAAATTTTATTTATGTGGCATTAATACACCCAATCTCATTAATAAGAAAATATTTCATTATATTTTTTGGGTTAATTAAGACAAAAACCATTATATTTTATGTTAATTGATTAATAATTATATTTTTTATTGAATAATATAATAGTTAATATTAAAATTAGTAATTATATTTTATACTAAATAATATATGAAAGTTACATAAAATTATATTTTACACTAAAATCAATATTTTTTTTATATGATGAAGCGGTTGTTTATTAATAAATTAATTTTTTTTATGTCATAGTAAAATTTCTTAAAATCACATAAGCAATTGTTATAATAAATGTAATATTTTTCAGCTATATATTTATTATATTTTATGCGATCAATATAGTGATTCATATACAATCAAATCGTGTGTACTATTTATTTTAACTAATGATCAAATTTTAAATATAAACTATTATACAATTTATAATTTTAATATTATATACATAAATATAACTTATAATATTATATGTTTGAAATATAAAACAATTATATAACTTATAATTTTTATATTATATACATAAATATAACTTATAATATTTATTTTATTTACATCTGTGCAAATGCACAAGGTCGAATACTAGTTGCCTTTAAAGTTATTGAAGTTGCAAACTGTGTTTTAATAGCTTTATGTGGTTGGCATTATTTTGGTGTGGCATGTTCTTTCGAGGTTTATTAGTATAACTTATGAAGTTGTTAAAATGGAGTGCTTGCTTATGCCATGACGCTATAAACTTCACCTTATTGTATTTGAACTTACAGGAAGATCTGCTCGACCGGCTTTCCGTCGTGCTGCATCAAGTAACCCGGCTCCTCAAAAAGGTCATTGTCCTAAGATATTGGTTCTAATATATGATCTTGCAAATATTTTTTCTCTTTCTTTTTGATATTTTGAAAGCATTGTAAGTGTTTATACAAATCTCCTTCATTGTCCTGCTTTATTGCGTAAGCTCATTTTTTTCCTCTATCATTTTGACAGTGAGCCATGCTCCTCCGCCAGCCAATGTCCAGAGCTCTGGTGGGTCCATCTTTGGGTTGATTGGCTCGACCATAGTTGAAGGTACGTAAATGCTATGTAAAAACATTCGATATGTAACCATTCGTCTATATACTTTTCTAGTTCACTGTTTAGCTGACACATTTAAATGTATATTGCAATATTCTTGTATGAAGGAATGGCGTTTGGTACTGGAAGTGCTATTGCACGCAGGGCCGTGGACTTCATAATGGGCCCACAAACTATTCGACACGAGAATGTTGTTACTGAGCCTGCACCATCAGCTCTGGCTGCTAACAGCATGGGTGTATCCAAAGCTTGCAACATGCAATCTAAGGCCTTCCAGGATGTAAGTGCCGCTTTTTTCTCCTTTTCTGTTTTGCTGTCTCTCTTGTGAGGAAGGGTTTTAAATGGGATTTTATATGAAGTGTGTTGTATGGATTTGATTTGGTTTTGATTGGTTTTTTTGGTTGATCATAGTTAATTTTTTTGAAAAAATTGTTGGGTTAGGTTTGAGTGAAATTTGAGTTTGTATTAAAATAATATATAAGGTAAAATGATTAATATTGATTTGATATTATTTAATTATATTGATAATATTGAGGATAGTGGGGTTGGGTTAAAAGAAGTGATTGAAAATGATTGGGAAAAACCAATCAAATCCATATTTAATCACACACTAGGAGGAGGAGGAGGACGACTAGATAATAGATATGGATTAAGTCGGTTATGATTCAACTTGGTGAGTTAAAGTGAGTTATTTTGAATAAAATAGATTTGAATTAAATAATATTTAAAATGTAATAATTAAAGTTGATATGATGTAAAGACAAGAGAGAGAGGTTGTAGGAAGTGATAGGTAGTTAAAATTATGTGAGTAGATGAATAATGAATTAAAATTGATGTGATGTGAGAATGATTGATAGGTATTAGTTAATTATATCTATAAAATGTAGGAGAGTTGTGTTGAGTTAGATTTTGAATTAGGAGATTATGTATGAAATAACTCAACCGGTTATAATCGCGATTGAGTTGGATCACAACTCATATCCAATCACGCCTTAAGTTGTTGGTGATTTAGAGAATCTTTGAGTAGAAAACATCTCTTTCTGATATCACAGTGCTTTGATACTTGGATTAAAATTCTCGATTGTTAGCTGTTTCTTTGTTAGTGTAAATTCTTTGGTTATGGTAACTTGTATTGCATCTTGTGGAATGTTTGTTGTGAAGACACTGTGCTTATCTTCTTCGGTTGCGCATGGTTTTTTTTTTTTTGGCCAATAAACAAACATTTTGGTTTCATTCAAATGATTTTTCATTTGTGGTTTACTTGAACTTATTTTTTTCGGCAGTGCCTGAACAGCTCTGGCGATGACATCAGCAAATGCCAGTTCTATATGGACATGCTGGCCGAATGCAGGAGAAACTCGGCTTCTGTTATGAGTTCTTAAGTTGATAATTTCCGTCTAATAATATTTGTCCCGGGAAATTGAATTAAGTGATGATGGTGATAAACATCCTTTGGGACTCCATTATTTGATGTTATTTTTTGTAGACCTTTGGGCCGTGTTTTCAGGACTGACTGTCATTGATTATTTGTTTTATATGCTTTATATATGCACTCATCTAAATCATGTTGAAATTTAGCCGTGCAGATCAAATGTTGACTGAAATTATATGACTGCACTGCACTGCACTTACTGTGTTGAGAATCTGCTTAAAAGTGTAGTACATTATGAAATTCAGATGTCTAAAGTACGAAATTCAGTAACTGGGAAATTCAACCTAGAGGAATATCATAGGTTATTGTTCATGTCCCTCAATCAAGAATTCAACTAGAAATGTGTACAGTGTACACATTCATATTTAGTCACAGTTTCGTATTTTCTAGTGATCTTATCTAGACGTGTCCATTTGCCGGGCCGGGTCGAAACCCGGCCCGGCCCGCCAGGTCGGCGGTTCACCGTGTACTGAACCGGGCTCGGCCCGCTTGTAACTAAGGGCCGGTTTACTGAACCGGCCCTTAACCGTCGGGTCGCAAACCCGGCGGGTCGAGTCGGTTCCGGGTCGGGCCCGGCGGGTTTGCGGGTTTATTAATTTTTTTTTTTACTTTTTTTGTTATTTTAATGTATATTAATGTTTATTTGAATAAATAGTTTGTATATACTTCGAAAATATAAGTTTTTGAGTATGGCGGAGAAGTACAAAAATAATGATCGGGCGTCAATTCTTGGAACCAAACGGTTAACGGTGTTGTATTTTATTGAGTATGGTGGAGAAGTACAACTTGAGGTAGTTTAGAAATGCTAAATTGTACGTCAAATGAAGTCGAATAAGTGTAAAGAAAAAAATTATTAATGTAATGGACTTGAGCTTAGTTAACAGTTATTAAGTTCGAATATCGTGCACGATGAAAAATTTTGTTGCCAAAAAATTATACTCGAACTTAATAATGTTAAATAAGGTGCCTACGTATCCCTTTATTTGGGAATCAAAGTCCACGTAGTTCTTCTAAATCACATACCTTGGCTGCATACCTTTAATATTCGTATTCGTCTTCGACGTCCCCCCCGGTTCCACTTGTCGACGACGTAAAATCGGATGCATCGTCG